AAAAATAGTATTTATTTGACGCTAAAAGAGAAAAGAAAAAAATAAAGAAAATTAAAAAGTTTGTAAATCTAACACATTATTTAATAAAATAATGTTGCGTAAAGCTGATGCTTCTTCTGCGTTAATGGTCGGGACGGGCGTGTATATAGCCACATACTTCCGACATCATTTGGTTATCACCTGAATTATATTGAAGAGTAAAACTGAGCTATCTCGCTCAGCATATCAAGATATTGTGATATTTTCATATCAATATAGAACACAACATACAAAACCTTCTCTCACAAGTCACAACATTACATGCATTGGCCTGGTCTAACATTTTGTTTAGTTCGTCCTTTAAAATTTCTGTAAATAGTTCTACCATAAGATGATTTTTGACACCACTATATCTGATATAAGATTGGAGTCACACCAAATCTTATAGTTCACAAGGTTGTCAAAAACAACAAGTTTTGTTGCGGAAGTGGGCGATGATAGAGATGAATGATGGTGGTTTTGATTGACTCTCTCAATCGATGGTGATTGACTCTCTCAATCTGTGAACGAAATAGATGGTTTGAATCTCACAAGAAAACTAAGTCACAGCCTCTAAAGAGTTAAGTGAATCTCACACTTAAATCTAAAGAACAAGAACAATCTTTGCAAAGAACAACTTTGAAAGAAAACAAATACTTCGTATTAAAATTGATTGAAATGTGAGTTTTAACAATGGACTAAGAGGAGCTTATATAATGCTCTTACACGTTCTAAAATTCTAAAGATTAAGAAACAAATCAAAGCTAATCAAAAATTAGCCGTTAGGCTCTAAATGAGTAAATCTTGGCCAAATATGAAAATGTGATAATGCATTTGTATCTGGACGGTTTTAAGGGATAAGTTAGCTTCTCTGGAACATTATTATCTTCATAAAATACTCCCAAACTGTAGCATTCAAAGGAAAAGAGCCGTTGGATAGTTATGGCAAGTGAAGTTGCAGAAGGATCCGCCTGATCCTGTGACTTCTGGTACATGGTGGGACAATATTTGGACCCTCTGATTGGTAAATGAAGTCTCCTGGTCGCCAAAGTCGGTTCTGTGTTGAATTAAACCGGTTGACTCTCATACTTGCCATAAATAGCTCGGTTTGTCTCAATTGAAGATACAATTGGATCCGCCTGATCCAATGCGTGTTGGTGCACCTTAGGATATTGTGGAAGGCTTTTAGAAGGAACTCAGAGTCTCCTGGGCGCCACTGACATGTTTGAAGTCTCCAAAACCCGGAAGGTTCCAAATAAGCCAAGTGGGGGATCCTTTGGTTTAGATATTGAATATCTCCTAAACCAAAATCGATCTCGGTCTGATTCCAATTCTCCGTGATTCTCTGATGAGTCAAGATTCCAGAAAATGTCGGTTTACAGCTTAATTCCTCTTAGTTTAGTTGGACTTCTCCAATTAAGGCGGATATGTCTAAATCAGGTAAGTTGAGGATCACCCGATTTATAAACTTAATATCTCCTTCATCTGAACTCCAATTGGACTGATTCTACTTCGAGGCGTGCTCTGGCTGAGTTAGGAATGTAGTACAAGTGGTAGTTGGGCTGGAACACTTGTTCTTGGACTTCATTTGACCTGGACAAAGCTCGCATGTCTCCTTAGCTTGTCTTGGTTCCATGTTCTCCTCTTTTTGTTTCTTGATTCCTTGCTTTATGTCTGATGATGACTTGATGTACTCATCAATATCGAACTTTCAACTACATGCGGAAGTATGCAAATGATGGTGAGCCTTCCTAACAATTATAAGACAGGTTTATAGATGGTATATGTATGATGATGTATTTAGGATGAAGGTGCATATGTGTATGATCTCTTAGCTTGAACGCAGTTTGAATGAACTTGTTATCATAAGGATAACAGAGAAGCATCTTGTTGAGAAGTATTAGTCCATGCTTCATTCAGATCTTATGGTATTTGTTTTTCCATTGAGAATGAGTTACACCACAATTCAATTTTGAGCAATAAAGTTAAAGTAATTTGTCAATCGAAAATTAGCATGATAAATCTCTATTGTACATGTTCCCTTAACTGGTTTTGGAGAGAAATCAATTCTAATACGTTCTGGCGTAAAATATTTTATGAGCTCTTTTTTTTAGATCTTAATTCCATCATATGTTTGTCTAAATTTTGTTGTTCAAGTGGAGACTAAGTTGATAAAAAAAGAGCAAGGTGGTTAGAGCAGAAACTCACCAAGGAGATGATGGCAATACTAAGAGGAAAAGAAAGCGAACAAACCCCACATTAAAAAAAGGTGAGATATAAAATCGAGAGGTTATCAAAGGAATTTAAGAGAAAGGAAGAAAAGACTTCTACTAGCCGAGAATTGAGATTTCAAAGCTTTTTTTAGTTTGACATAATTTTTGTTCGTTATATCAGTATATGGTTTCTATGATCAGACAAAACAAGGATATAAATTACATGAAGATTTTGGCTTTGCATGATGTTATTCATTTGGCAGCATAATTTTCTTGAAAAAGTTTTTTAGAATTTTTTTTTTTGGTTTTATGCATTCACAGAACCATTTGTTTTTCAATATAATTTGGAGAAAAGCTTAATAAGAAATGTGAATGAAAAAAAAATCAGTGCCCTTTGAGAAAACCAAAAATACGGGATGACTGAATTGAGCATAGATTGAGATGATAAGGAAAAGAAAAAAAAGGAATAAATCTAAAACCATATAGAATAAATAAAAAATTAGAAGGATATAATTAATTACATTAAAAAATTATAGCTAATTTGAAATAATAAATTTAATAAAAATAAACTTTCAAACAAGAAAATTAAGTCTATAATTCTTAATTAAGAAATATAAAATTAAACATACTACCATTATATTTATGAACTGGATAGAAAAAATTAATTAAATTTTTAGCTAAATCAAATTTTATTTCACTAATAATTGAGATCCCATAAGTATAAAATACATAAAGGAAAACAATTATAAGAGTTCTAATACCTTTGAAATTTATAAATAAGTAAAGTTATCGAATAAAAAAACCTATACAATTGAATAAAAGAAAACTATATCATAGAAAAATGAATCTATAATGGGTTTCTGCTAGGGCTGGAATTATTATCCGGTATCCGGTTCTATCCGATCAGTAAAAACCGAATATCCGTGTAGTTCGGATCCGATAGTAAAATTAAGTATTCGTTTATTTCGGATACGGATCCGGATAATAGAAAATTTTGAAACCAGATATCCGTTATCCGTTTGTTAAATATTTATTTATTTTTAATAATATTTATTTATTTTAAATAATATTTATTCATTTTTTAAAATTAACTTTAGAATTATTTTTGGTTTAACTCTTTTACATATAATTAAAATTCATATTGTGTGATAATTTATATTTTAGATTGTGAAACAAAAATATAAAAATGGATAGCATATGGAAACGAAAATAAATTAAATTCTCTAATACTATTTTCTCTTTTATTATGTAAACTTTTAAACTTTATGCTATTTGAATGTTACTTGAATGTTTTTTAATTTTTGCTATTTGTAACTTGCTATGATGATACATTTTAATTATCTATGTTATCTTATTATAATTTTTTAAAATTAAAAAAAAAATTAAATCAACAAAACCAGATATCCGGTCGGATATCCGTAAATATTCGGTTCAAATCGGATATCTGATCTTCGGATCCGGATCCGGATAGTAAAACTGATTATCCGGTGGATCCGGATCTGGATCCGGATATCTTGAAAAGTCCGAATATCCGGCTCCGTTTCAGACCTAGTTTCTGCATTGTCCTTTCCTTTGTCTATCAGTTAATGAAATATAGCTGACTAAAGAAAAAAGTACTTGACTAATATTTTTTATGAATATATTTATATTTCTAAATTCATTTAATCCAGAAAAGCAAATAAGCCAATTTTTTTGTTGCTGTTGCAATGTTGGTTATATATCAAAGGGAAAATAAACTATAGTATTAGTGGCTAATTATGGAGAAAATTATTGTTCAAAAAAACGTTATGGAGAAATTTTATCTTTACTTGATCGTGAATTTAAAGAATATTTAAACTACAAAAAATAAATAATTTATATAGTCTTAAAAACAATTAATATATGTTCGGCCTGAAAATTATTTATCCAAGTATCAAAATTTTCAGATAATGTGAGTAGAAAAAAGGTGGCGAATTCAAAGGAAATGGAGTTGCTTGTAATGTGAAGCAAACATGATTGGCCTTTTGCTTGGTTTTCAACTCTCATCATAACGGACTACTTATTTCGTCTTTTACTTTCTTTTACTCTCTCCACCTTTTATTTTAATTTAAATTTTTGTCCCCATTTTCGTTGAAAGAGTTTTTTGTTGTTCTTTCAAGTCAAAAGACAAAGCAACATAAAAAGTAGAACGCATGTAATATATTTTCTTTTTCGTGCAGTAAAAAAAAAAGAAAATAGGAAAATAGAGGAGAAAGTCTAAAGAACGTAGTAAAAGACCCAAACGTGCCTCCATGATTACTCTATCAAATTCAAAGTCATCACACCGAAATGGTCCATACTACGTGTCGAACCTGGTCAGAGATTTCTTTCAAGACTCAAGAGTCTCTATTTCATATATTGTCTCTTTGAAACGTTCTTTAATTATTTTCATAACTAGTCAAACTTCCGATAAATACTTATTGACAAAGACCATTCGATCCACTCATGTTTCCCAATCACAAGTCGCAACCATCAAAACATGGATAATTTCTTCTATGCTTTTTAAAGTTAAAATTTAGAATTTAATTATTTTGACAGAAAACAGGGTTTTAGGAATATTAAGTCTATATCATAAATTCGAGCATAGACATGGATCCATACTCTATATTCGATCTCGATATTGAGTGGCACATGTTGAACTACACCAGCATATATATATCTCCGTATGAGAAAAACTATAAAAAAAAAATTTTAAAAAAGAATAAGACGTCTTAAAACAGTATCATGATTCATGAATATATATGCCTCCAATTACATAGATTGCAATGAATTATTGAGACTAAAAGTGAATAAACCGCATGAACTTTACATTCACTTCATTACTAAGAACTTATAGCTAGGTATCGCTTAGTTATAGTTAAACAAAATCCGGGAAACTTAACATTGTATATAAAGATATAATGGGATCACTCATGAGTCGTTGTCGGGATTTATGGATTCGTCGGAGAAGTAACCGGGAAAAGAGGAAGAAGAAGTGGCTGAGAGTCTCTAGGAGTTGAGATTGGAGAAGGATGAAGATAAAAGCCTTTCTCGGCCATGGCTTTTTCTTCTTCAGATGAGTTCCCTAACGATAAAGGCGATGACTTGTTGAAGGGGTCATCATTGCTTCTCAGAGGCGTCACGGGACTGTTTAGCCCTAGTTTTGGGAAATCAAGCATGCTTGGAGACAGAAGAATATTCTCTGATGAGCTGTTCCTCGGAGAGAATCTTGGGCTTTGATGAGCACTGTTTCCTCCTCCTGAGAACATCAATCTCTGAGAATTTTGAAGCCTTAAAGTATTGATCATGAGATCATTTTTAACGAACATGTTGTTGTTGTTTTGTCTTCTTTCGTAGAGCTTGAAGTTGTTGGTTTTCTTGATAGGTGGGATCGAGAAACCTACTTTATTGTTGTTGTTGTTTGCCGGAGAAGGAGCTTCTTGGTGTTCTCCGGTAGTGGGATCGGTGGAAGAACCTGTGAGCATCTGAACAACTTGTTTGAAAGTGGAAGTATCTGCTTGAACAAATGTTGTTGGGTAAGGATTTGAGAGATGTTGATGCTGGTCATGATGATTATGATGAAGAGGAGATCTTGTCTGAGCCTGAAACCTAGGAGATGAGATTATGGGAGATGGCTTTTGCATGATTTGTTCTGGTTTTGAAGACATGGATGATGTTGAAAGCTCCATTAATGATATGTCTCTCTGTGTATATGAGGAAAGGGAGAGAGAGAGAATGATTGAAGGAGAAGAAGAAGAAGAGTGGAAGTTGCTGATATGAATAATGTGTAATGTTGTTTAGTTTTGTCGTGCGACGACAATTAAAAAGACTTTAAAGTGAGGTGTCATGGACCCATCTCATTCTCTCTCTTTTAAATTCTTTTTTATTTATTTGAGAAATTAAAATTCTCTCAAAAACCTAATTTGTTAGAGCATATGCAACGCTGATTCTTGAGCGTTATTTTAGGGGTACTTAAGCCCAAATTTAATTGAAAAAGAAATTAAAACCCAAGTAACGATTTCTAAATAAGGTCTGCAAAAAGCGATGCTTGGGCATACATGACACATCGTTATTAGTCCAAAAAAATAAAATATTTTTTCTTTTTTTAAGAACATCGCTACGTGGCAAAATTTGTTTTCCAAATAACTTAAATTACAATATTTCTTTTTTTAAAAATCCCTTTGCATTGGAGACAACAAAATACTAATTTTTAGTTTGGATATTTAACTTAACTTTAATAGTATTTTATTGGTTAAGTACCCTTAATGGAGTACTATCATTGCTGATGCTCTTAGATTCGTGTTCCGAAGACAGTACATATACAACATCATCATTACTCTTATACGAATCAGCAAGTGTTTGAAAATATCTGTCAAGGATATAATAATTTTTTGGATACTTTGGAATTTGGATGTGTGGATTATTTTTCATATGGCGTGTGAAAAATAGAAGAGAAATTTCCATAATAATAAACCAACGAAATTATTATTACCATTTTAATACTCTAAATGCAAATTCATATTTATTACTCCAACTTTTATATTTTAATTCTCCAATCCCTTTCTACAATATAGCGTTAAAGGTCTTACGACTAAAACTCTAAAACTCTTCTCAGGGTTTTCTGGTACAACGCTCTTTTCAAAATCCTATGTTTTTTTGAAGTTGTAAATAATATCTATTGTAGGGCTTGTTTTAATCTTGTGTTAGAAATTATAATGTAAAATGAATGTACGATTAAGAGTTGATGAAAAAAAATGATAGTGTATTGTTTGGATATGTAAGAAATTGTTATATTAAAATGATAATAGAAGTTTAGTTATATTATCATGGAATTTTTTTATAAAAGCATTTTTGTAAACACAACAAACAAACACATTGGGGATGCTTCTAAGTTTTTATTATGAATTGACTCATTAGCTCACGATTTAGATATATTTAAGTTCAAGTTGATAGATATGAACTCATATATTGACATGAGCCGAGCTAACTCACATGAGCTGAACTAAGTTAATTCATTAAAAACAAAATTTATATGATTGAATATAGAGTTTACCAACAACAGACCAAGTTAACACGTTTAGATTGATATCTAGATTTGTTGTCCAACTAATATGAATATCTCCAGGGTCATTTGACAAAAGAAAAAAAAACTAATATCTCCACGCTTAGAATAAATAATCCGGGTCTGTACGTATTATCTTTGATACTTGCTGGCTGGTGCAAAAAAAATGATGGATCTGAAATGCTAAATATATCATCAATTTGTAACCAAATTTATCATGACTACTTCACTCTTGGTGTATATTAGCATTTGGTGTACATACTTTCTGTTAGTACGCTTATGTCGTGTTTGGTTTATATGTAAGATATTTTCATTATAGTAACATAAGTAACAGAAAGTTTGTACATTAAAAACTAACTTACACCAAAGGTAAAATAGTCTTTATAAAATTTGTGAGATAATTAATAACCACGACTTGACCCCCCCCCCCCCCCCAAAAAAAAAAAAATTTACGACAAAATGATTGACTTAAAAACTAAATATCCACCACAAATTTCAACTGATTTTTCATCACAATTTTTGTCTTTCTAGCCAAATATTACTTGTCCCATACCAAAACTTACCATAATTTGTCTTGAAACATAGTATGAATATTTTTACCAAATAAAAAACATAGTATGAATAGTATTATGCATATTATAAATGATAATATGCGAAGGTCGTAATGTACATGGTAGTGTGCTGGCTAGTCTCCTCCTCCTCCTTACCAACTTTACTATATGTTTAAGATTTGTGGCTTTCTATTTCCCTTCCTCATATATTGTTTAAATGTAGTTTTATTCTCTTATCTCTATTCATTTCAATTATGCAAAACATTGTATATTTTTTGAACCATAGCTTGTACTCCGTTTATTTTAATTTGAAAATCCTTTAACCCTAAATAAACAAATATTATGGATGATTGAATTCTTTATCATGCAATGTCACATTTGTATTTGAGATCACCTCTGCGGTCAACCACCATCACAATTTTTACCATTTGTATTTGATAATATATATATATATATATATATAAATGACTCTAAAGTGATGGATAATATATATATATATATATTATAATTAAACATTCATCCTTTATATAGAAGTTTTATTAAGAGATCGTAACAAAATAAAAAAATTATAAGACTTAAAAAATATGGTAAAGAAAGAGAATGAAAAATACAATTTGTAGACAATCTATAAATATATGTCCAACTTGACAAACAAAAATATTGATATCTATAGTTTTTTCTTCTTAATCATTTACATACTTTAGACCATAGCGCGGATTCATACGCTATCATCTATCATATAACTATTTAATATCAACAGATTCGGACTTAAGACATTGAAACTGAAGTAGAAAAATACATACATACCTATTTTGGGATATTTATAAAGAATCGTATATTGAAGTATATATCAAATCAGGTTTCTAAAACTTTGGTGATAGATACTGTTTCTTGGAATCTGATGACGACCAACAACATGATATTAGAATAATTCATATAGGTGGAACCGTGGAAGAACAATTATTGAGAATTTTCTTTCAGAATCTATACTCATATACTCAATGTTAACAATGTGACGTTCTTAATTTTGTTTGACATACTTTTTTTTCTTTTTTCATGAAACCGAAATTCTAACTATTCTTCTGTTTTTCTTTCTCACATGTTTTGTTTAAGCAGTTTTTTAACGATCGTTTATATCAACACACGTTAGAAAATTATTACGATATACAATAAACATGATTTATTTGTCTCTACAATAACTGGATAAGATCTAAATGTCTATGATTTACGACCCCACATGAGATTCTAATATATTTTGTGTCTTTCAAATATTCATAGTGGCATATTTTCTCAAATATGTGAACTTGTAACATTTGGAAATAATTAAATTAAAATTTTAAAATACTCCTTTGAAACATCACCTACATTGTATCCAAAGAAAATCGCAAGAAAAAAATACTTCCCAGTTTACCAAATTTATTGTAAGATCAACATTTGCAAAATAGTTTTCATATAAATAAGATGCCTGCAATCTACTTTAAAAATTAATCATATATATTATAAGCAAAGTAAAATTTTGAGTAAAAGTTCTCTCATTCATTCTTAGAGTGGCTAATTACCTTTTACCCTTCCTTATATTTTTTAAAATTAAATTTAATAAAAATTATTAAAAATCGTAAATTAATTAAAAAATTATTAAAAATTGTAAATTAAAAAAAATAATAAAAAACGTAAATTAATAAAAAAAATTGTTAAAAATCGAAATTTAATAAAAAACATTTAAATTTAATAAAAAATATTAAAAATCAAAATTTCATCAAACAATGTTTAAAATAGAAAATAGCAAAAAATTTAAAATTGGAATTTAATCAAAAAAATATTTAAAATCATATCATATATAATATATGCGAAGTAAATTTTTCGCTATAAGGTCTCTCATTCAATCTAGATAACTAATTCTCTTTTATTCGTTAATAAAATCTTTTTTAAATATCTTTAATTAATTTATTTATTTTCGTAGTTTTAGCAATTTTGCTGCCACTTTTAGTTATTTTGATAATATTAAGATAATTTCAATCAGATTATCTGTTGAGCAAGATTATCTGAAAAAAATATACATGTGATGTAGAAAATATTAGCTTAAGTTGAGAGCTATATATAAATATATTACTTTTTTAAATGTATCTTAAGCTCAATTGTGGTTTGGTTTCTACATTGGTCGGCTTTTCGTTGTATTGTTTACCATTTTTATTTTTTATAAATCAATTTTTCGTTTTTTCTATTATTTTTTCCGTTTTTCAGTACCAGTAATAGTGTTCCTCGATTATATGTTGTTGTTTTGTGTTGTCAGTTATTCTTCCTTACTTAACGTGATTAAAACCATGTCAACATATCATAAATCATCTTCATTGTCTAATGAACAGGTTTTAAGTCTTTTGTTTTAAGTATGGCTTTCTGAATTCTGTTTATTTTTGGAATAATGTAAGAGAGGCCAAATACACTAGCAGGACGCAGAGGAAAAAATTCGAAAAAGAAAACAGAAAAAGGAAAAAAGGGAAAAACGAAGTAGAAAAAAAAATGATCAAGAAGAAGTAAAAAGCAGAAGATAAAAACGGCTAATAAAACCAAAAGAAAAATAATAGAAGATGTTGAAGAATAAGAATTTAGAGAATACAAAGACAATAAAATAAAACAAAGAAGAAGGGGCAGACAGATAAAACAAAAAAAATCAACAGAAAAAACGAAAAAAAAAACCGAATGAAAAAAAATCAAGAAGTCAAAGAAGATGAATAAAATACAAGAAGAAATAGTCAAAAACAATGAAAGATAAGAAGAAAAAAATAAAGAATAGAAAAGCTAAAAAATAAAGAAAAAGAAGAAGAATAAGAAAACAACGATAATATATGAACAAAAAGTAATACAGTGAACAAGTAAGATAAAAAAAATAGTCGGATAGGTCGATGACGATGAACAAAAAAAAATTAAATGACCAATTGGAGAAGAAAAAGATAATCAGAAGAAAAAATCATAAAAAAAACCAGTAGATAGTAGAGAAAGTGAAAGAAAAAATAATAAAATGGAAGAAAACTAGAAGATGAAGAAGACAAAGTTGAAAAAGGTAAATATGGTGAAAAAAACAAAGACAAATCAGATGAATAAGAAGTAAAAAAAAATGAAGACAATAAAGAAAAACAATTTGAAAACAAATAACGATAAAAAAAACTCAAAAATATAAGGAAAAAACTAAAAAAAGGAAAATATAAACCATGAGAGGAGTAAAAAGACAGATAAGACAAAGATCTTTGAAATATGATGAAGAATTTGAAGAGAGGAAGAATAATTGGAAAAAGAGGAATAAGAATCTGTTGAAGAAGAAAAATAATAAATTAGAAGACAAAGTAGAAGAAGAAGATAGGAAAGAGAAAAAATTGGATGAAAACCTTAAAAGATAAGGAATTGGAGAAAGTAGAAGAATATGAAGATGAGGTAAAACCGAAAAACACCAGAAGAATAGGAAGTCGGTGATAACGAAGAAGACGATGAAAATGAAAAAGGAAAAGAAAAAAAGAAGAAGAAATAGAATAATAAAACATTGAAGAAGAATAAAAAAGGGAATAAAACCTGGAAGAGAAGAAAATCAAAATATGTATAAGAGGAAAAAGTAAAAGATGTGGAAAAGAAGAAGAAGACGTGAAAAAGAAAAACCAGCAGAATAAAATGTAAAAAAAAAAGATATAGAAAATAAAGAAGAAAAAAAAACAAAAAAACAAAAAAAGAAAGAAAGAAGAAAATGATAGAGAAAAAAAATTAAAAGATAAAAAGAGAAAAAGATGAATAATTTATATTAATCTTATTTTAATTTGTGTTTATTGATTTCATACACTTATTAGTATTGATTTTAAAGTTTTTAATGTTAGACAATGATTACTTTCATAAGTTAGTTTTATTTTAATTTTGTATGTATCAAATTCTTAATCTAATTATTTTTTATTTATAACATAAAATTTTATTTTAGGTTTTAATGAAACTTTTCGGTCCGCGCAAGTCGCGGACTAAACACCTAGTACCATTTATATTCACTTAAATTAAAACAAACTCGTTTAATTTAAAAAATTGAAAATCATTTTTGATAGGTGAGAAGAATTGGACCTTTGATCTCATTTACATAAATTTGATATACACTATAATTTGTATCACAAAAATATCTTTATAGTTAACGAATAAATAGAAAAAGTTTACTGCCAAATTAACACCATTTGAGTGCTACTATTATCGTCGTTATTGGCATTACCGTCACCATAATTCCACAAATACCAACGCTTCTACTACTACCATCACTATCAAATCGCAATGATGAATAGTGGCAATGGTGGTGATGATGGTAACAATAATGTATTTATTATCATTTACACATACACTATTATTTTTGAATTTAAATTATTAACAATGATGACATGCTTATATAGTTTACATACTATTGCGTGTTAGATTGCAAGATTTTTAATCATATATAAGGTTATTCCGTAGTTTTTGTTACATTGAGAGTTGTTGTACAATTTTTCCCTTGTATATCTGTTCATTTTTAATTGTTTTGTACTTCTATAATTTCCACTTATAATACCCACTAGCTTGCTTTCTTACCCAAAAAGGAATATCAATAATAGTTCGTTATAGCGTGTATGAACAAGCATAATTTTTGTTTGACAAGACGTTGTACTAAATGGTTTTTAATTATTTCAATTTGTATGAGATTAATTAACGTGTATAGCATAAAGGTCCATTTTTGAAATGATATTGTACTTACAGGTTTTTATATCAAGTCACCAATAGAAAATGCAGTACATATTATATATATATATAAATATATAACCTATCTGAGTTCGAATATGTTCTCCTTATTGTATGTTGCAACAACATTTACACAAACTAGTGTGAGCACATGAGGAAACAAGATAAAAATGGAGATCGTATCCAATTCTTTTTTGTTTTTAATTATTTTAATATCAATAGAAAAACAACCAAAAATTAATAAGACGAAAAAGGGAGAAAAAGAATAAGATAAAAGTAACAATAGTGGGGACTCGAATTCCAATTGGTGAAAATTGTCGTCCCTCCATGAAGGATCAAATTCTTTCAAACTTCAAATCATTAGCGTCTTCTAGAACCCAAGTTGTTAAAGATTCCCTCTTATTGCAAAAACATGCAAATGAAGGGAAAGAAAGTCTTCTATAAAGTAAACATAATTACAAAATTAAAGACCTATTATTTTTAGATAGATATCACAATGATCAAGTGCAACAGATGATAATCTTACTCAACAGTTACATGTGTATACACATACATTCAGGTGTAGCATGCATGCAAAAATAACGGAATAACAAAACTAACTCAATTGTTTTAAGGGAAAAAAAACGCAATTGCTTCACAACAATGTTTCTCCATTGAAATGATAGGTTCCACCAATCGAAACTACAATCCAACTTGTCCGGTCGTGGTAACAAAGAGTTAAAACAAGTTTTTATACATTAGAAATATAAGCTATAGTTTTACTTTTACGTATATCAATACGTTTATTAAATATAGAAATAACTGCAAAAGTACAGATTAATCAAGAAACAAGAGTTAACAACCCTTGAATAGATATTAAATAAACTTAGATAAGCAAAAAAAAAAAATCTGCCTAAATGGCTTCGATCGAAATCCATAGTCTTAGGCTTTAGATAGAAAATCCATCTAATTATTATTCATGTAGAAAAAAGAAAAAAAAAACATAAATTATTATTAGGACCGTGCTTCTCATTTGTTCATGCCGGTCTTTTCTTTAATGGTCTCACTCGCACCTTGTGCCTTCTGCTTCATCTGCTGTCCAGTCTATATTTTGTTTTTGTTAAAAAAAAACATAAATTATTAATTTTACTCTGATCGAAATCTCATAAATACTTGACCGTTTCACAAAAAAAAAAGTAATAAGAAAAGAAAATGGACCTCTTGCAAAGATTCCTTAGCAGATTGGGCAGCATTGGAGGCCTTGTCCATCAAGTTACTTGCCTTCTCCTACAACAAATTTTAGTTACCCCTAATTAATATTTAATATTAATCTAAGCCCTTATATTATCCAAAATATTCATATTTAAGTTTAGAAACAGTGTCGTATAGTTAAAACCTGGGTTTGGCCTTTAGCTTGGCCAGCGTTGAAGCTCATGCTCTGACTGTTGCTAGACATTTTCTGATCTTATCTTCGAAAAACAAAACTTAATTTGGTTTTTAAAAACTTTTTTTTGTAATTGTGACTTGTGAGGAAAGAGCAGTACGCGTAGAGGTTTTATATACATGTGGGGATCCCTGTCGTTACATCCACGTGGATTTTTGTGATTGGATATCTGCTTTGTCTCTTGACACGTGAATTTTTATGCTTAGTACTCTCCGGTCGGATAGGGAGGTGTTTGACCACGAGACATGCAAAACCGTTGTAGACTTGTTCCTATGTACTAATAATAGTGTAGCACTATTTATAAACTATCTTTTTGGTATCTTCATTCCTTGTAGAGTAATTGTAAATCATTTTATTTCTAATAAATAGTATCACTATACATTTTAAGAAAATATGTTTTCATTATTTAACTGATGTATGGTTTTCCAATATTCTGCAAATCTTATTCTGTTAATGTTTTAAAGATAAAAGACAAAAGTCAAAATCTAACTCGAAACACAACGAGATGAAAAAGCAAAAAAACATATTTATAACTCACACTAATAAATTTAAATTTCCATATTTTAAGCTGGCACTAAAAAGATTCAAAATTTTGAATAAAAAAACCAAACAAAATCGAGTAAAATGTAGAGAGAAACTGTTAAGAAAAGAAATGTTTCTATGCTCCATATTATTCGTTATAGCAGTTCAAAATTTTAGAATACAACAACGAAGGATGCTAAGTACCCTGGAGATAGTCTTTAACTTTTATCAGTGTATGCTAACGTTTTTCAAAAGCTTATGTCCTCAAAACCAAACGTAAACAAAAAAAAATGCAACTTTGAAGATTCCAAGCTACAAAAAAACAAGCACACTAGGCGGCTTTGTCTTCTCTTCTAACTTTTCTGTTGGCTCTTCATTTTTGTCATTATGATCTAGAGAGCGTAATAGTAACCAAGCACGAGAAGCACCAGAACCACAAGAGCAGCAGGAATTGCCCAAACCAAGTAATTATTACTCGACTTCTTACGCTTCAGGCTCGGTCTTGGTAAAGGAGTTTCTAGTCCCCTTCTGTGAATCCTATTCCTTATCTGTTTCTTCCCCTTTGAGGCTTTTTCTTCCATGGGTTTCTCCATTTCTTGATCTTCAACCTCTTCTTTCTCTGGTACAGAAGCTTCTGGAACTTCCTCAGGCTCTACAGCGTCGTCCTTCTTTGCTTTCCTCTCACGCTCCTGAAAGACCAAGACGAAGATGTCATCCTCCAAAGAACTATTATTATGAGGAATGAAGAATTAATAGGTACTTTACAAGATATTAAGTAATTTCCTTTTCTTTCTTTTCAGCTTCCTTTTGAGCTCTTATAGCTGCTTTTGCTGCAGACTTTGCCGCCTGTTTCTTTTTCCTTTCCATGGCTTGTTTGGCTTTAGCAATCTCTTCTTGCCTTCTCATCTCCCTAAGCGTAGCTTCATCAACCGGTTTTGACTCTTCCTTTAGCGGTTTTCCAAGTCCATACACTTCTTCCTCATCAGAGATGGGCTTAGTCTCCTTTGCTTTTCCAGCATCTTTAGCTTTGTTTCCAGATTCTTTCTGAGGAACACTAACATCTGGCTTTGGTGCAGAAACTGGATCCTCCTTAGGCTGTTTTGTTTTAGCCTTAGGCACAACCTCTGTTTCAGAAGGCATTGGCTTTGACGAGGGCTCTGGTGTAATCAGAGGTTTCTCTTCAGGGTTTCTCATACGTCCATCTCGGCTTAGCTGCCTAGCGTCCAGTGACGGCAAGAGTCTCTTTTCATAATCTTCTTTGAACTTCTTGTCACTGTGCCAGAGGGACATAAATTTCTCACCCTGACAAGATGACAAAGACCCAAAAATGTAAAACTATAAAGACCAAACGTGTGTAAATTCGAGGGAAAGCATGAGTTTTGTTATCAGCGATCAAACCTCAGCATGAGAGAGCGTCTCAAGGTCTTCTACTCTCTTTTGTGCAGCCAAGTCTCTAGCTTTGTTCAACACACCACGGCTTTGGTAAAAGTTTGCATTCTGCAGAACAAAACATAAATTACAAAGAGTATCTCCAAATTCACAATTCTCACACATTCTTCATCACAGAAAATGCTCGAATAGTCAGTTGCAGAAAGACAATGACAGAAATTTCAAATACCTTGGCATCACGTTGCTTTCTGATCTCTTGAATGTTTGAATAAGTTTTGTCCCTCTTCTCAGTCACAATCTTAAGCTCATCCTCTAGCACTTGTATCCCGTCTTTTGAAGCTTTAATCTTTTCACTCAGCTCACCAATCCTCGCTGAAATTGCTTGCCGCTCTTTCTTAACTCCGTCCAGACCAGAACCCATCGACTAGGGAAACATAACAAGAGCATATGAAACAGTTTCTTCTTATTTAGAGTCTAAAACCCTACAAACTCAAATCACAGTTTGCTTACCTTAACTTGATCTTGGATATCTTCTTTATGACCCAAAGACTCCTTGATCTTAGCTCTCAGTGCCGCATTAGCAATCACCTTATCCCTCGTCCCCTCAAGCTGCCTAATCTCTTTGAGAAGCTGCTTCTCCTCGTTTAACGTGTTGCTCTCATGTTGAATACGATATTCCAAGCCGCGTATCTTTCATTTGTCACCAACACAAGAGAATTAGCAACCAAGTCAAGAACAGATTATCAAACCAACATGGATAAGCACAGGATCATAATTACCATATCATTCAGCTCTTGCTCAGACGAACAGATACCAGGTCCACGAGTCCCACCGTCATTGCTCCTCAGCTTCCCAAGCGCCTGCTGCAATGGCTCCATTTCTTTCCTCTTCTCATCAAACATGCTATTGAATCCCTTACGCTCAGATTTCAACGGCTCCAAAAGATCGAATAACTCAGATTTCTCGTCCTAAGCAACACAACAACAACTTCCACAATCACCAACCAAACCCATAAGTTTAAAGAATTTATTCCAAAACTGCAAATGAGGTTTTCAAGAACTTACCCTCTTAGCTTTCAACTTCTTGAAAACTCCGGCTCGAGCACTGTTCAGCTTCTGATACTCTTGGTCAAGTTGATCAAGCTTAGCTTTTATTTTCGGGTCCTCGTATGAGCGTTGCTTGACAAAGTAGAAAGCGTGAAGCTTCTTCTCTGCAGGCCAGTCTTCAGAGACATCTTTTGGAACATCAGATTTTGATACACCAGTCTCTTCACTACTTTTGCTTGGCTCATTGTGTGAGCCGAACTTGATCGAGACTTTATCTCCTTTCCCGTTCTGCTCGGGTTTGCTCTCCAATGGCGTTGGAGCAACCTCGAATCCGTCAGAATTTCCGACCATTGTTGAAAGAAGTAGTGATTTAACTCAAAACCTCACGGAACAGAGGATTCTGATATGCACAATAACATATAAAACGTTTAGTGTTCGAGCGATAATCTATATACATCACAATCTGAGAAATCTTGGCATGATAAATCTATAAACGAATCAAATGGGCAATTTTCAAGTGTCTTAACGGATAAACAGGGTTCGATAATTCAACAAAAGCAAGAAACTTTAAGATTGCAAACTTCAACAAAAGCAAGAAGCTTTAAGATTTGTTGGAGAAACAAAAAAAAAATCCACGCCTCACAACACGATCAGGTTAAGAGCAGGATATGCATCATAGAGAAGTAAGAAATCAAAACAGAAAAAAAAAAACACGCAGATCAGAGCTGAACCAAAAAGTCAAATCGAATTGATCTCTCGGAAGTCAAATGGCAAGAAAATGAAAGAGAGGTGATGAAAACGAATTCGGAAAAATCAATAGAAGCTACAAAAACCTAAAATTGCGAAAAAGAAACATATGTAAATCGGGGAAAGAACAAGGAATGGTGCATAGATTACCGTGAAAGGGGAAAAAAAGAAGGAGAGAGAGATATGAAGATCTGAAGAAGATGATAGAAGAAGACCCTTTTAGAGAAATACGGAATTCTGGAAATATATGGAAATTAAAATCTTGAGGTTACCCAATTATATATAGGGTGATTTGCATCAATTTAAACTTTTTACTGGGAGGAGATATTTTTGGTTTAAGTGTCATTTATTAGTGACATATATCTACTAAACCGCTATTTGTCTCTACTCGTAACCTCGTAGTAAAAAAAATAAAAATTAAAAAAAGGGGTCGAATACTGAATACAGTAATACGTACTTTTAAAAATAATATAAAAATATTGGGAATTTTTTTTATGTCATTAAAGCACCTCCATTTGGGTATATATCCATTAAGTCTCTCATCAATAAAAAATATTAACATTTTTAATACAATTTAATTTGAAAACCTCATCTGAAATGTATACTTCTATAGGTGAAATATTTTTGATGTAATTTTATATTTTCAGTTTAATTATAAAAAATTATCTAAAATTAGAGAATTTCTCGTTAATACTTTTTGTAAGTAAATGTAAGAGCCTCCTTGAAACTGTGGAAAAGTCAGTTCCACAACATTTTATCAAAAAAAAGCTTCATATGATCATAAACTTTGGAGATACACTGGAACATAAAACGATGGTAAATACTATGAAGCCGGACCTTGGGTTTAATAACGAAAGTGCCTCTATTATTTTTACAACAGTCCTTTATGTAGAATTAAATCTGGTTAGTAACACAACTTTGAACAATAAATTGAATTTAGTCTAGTAAGAAAGAATTGTACATATGATGACCAACGATTAAAAATGAGTTTTTCATGGACTCTAAATTTATCTAAAATTTATGTAAAAAATAATAAATGCAAACTACCTTACCTAATTGATTGACTTTAAACGAGATAGGTAAAGTAGTTTGCGTTTATTAAAAACACGCACATTGAGAAGCTCTTTACTTTTTACATTTTCTAAGCAAAAACATTTCATGTTTCAATGTTTGCAAGTCAATGAAAATAAATCACTTTAATTCTTAGCTTTTGAATCTTTTTTAATACTCCATATCCATAGGGTTGTGAAAACATTTTCTATTTTGAAAAAAAAAAAACTAAACTCTATTATGAAATGAGTATATTTTATAATAAAAAATGGACAACTGATAATAGTGAATACTGAAGGGCGGAGACATAGATGTTCGGGCATGGACATAACAACGTTAACACAATGTTCGGTATTGACATTACATGACAATGTTAGCACAATGCTTATTGACCTAACATGTTACGTTCTTGCCCACTTTGCCACTTTCGTTTGTAAATAAACCATAACAATCAAAATTGTAATTTAACAAAAAAAATCAATCAAAATAGTATACATAATGTGCAATTGTCTGAAGGAAAAAGAAAGACGTACTGTATAATCTAGGCAAAAAAAAAATATTAAATAATCTTGGATCATTTCATGACCTAACCAATTGTCTGTAACATTATTGAGATCTCACCTTATAAATTGGGACAAAGTGTGAAATTTTTATACCAACCGACCAACCCATACATCTTTTGCATCACTTCCTAATTTTCTATCTTCAAAAAAAAAAATGGCAAACAATCTTCAAGTGCCCTTAACCATTCACCCTAAACCGGATCCAACCAAAGAAGAACAACAAGTTGAAGAAGAGGCCAGTTTGCTAGCGAGGAGGATGGCCAACGCAGCCGCCTTCCCTATGGTTCTCAAAGCCCCCTTGGAGCTCGGCGTAATCGACATCACAGCCATTTTCGGCTACGGTTTGTGGCTCTCACCTTCTGAGATAGCTTTAAGACTCCCAACCAAACCGAGCAACCCATAAGCTCCGGTTTTGCTAGACCGGATGCTCCGGTTTCTCGCCAGTTATTCAGTCTTTAAATGCCGTACTGTTGTATTAGAAGACAACGGTCAAACCGACAAAATCGAGAGGGTATTTGCAGCCGAACCGGTCTGCAAATTTCTCTTAAACAATAGTGACGTCTCGGGTTCTTTTGCGTCTCTGTGCATGGTTGACCTTAGCGACGTTTATATCAAGACTTGGTAGTTTGATTAGTATTCGCATGATATAGCACACAATACAAATTATTAAAAACAATATACTTGACTCTTCAAATACATTAAAAACCGGTTATTAATTATGAGCATGCCATCTCACTAAATCTTAATTTCTACTTTTATAACAGTCCAGGACCAATTTACTAAAGATTTTTGGTTTCACAGGAGACATCTCAAAGATATGATATTAGAAGGAAGAGATGCCTTCAGTTATGCGCATGGGATGAAAATATTCGAATATATCCAAACAGATTCGCAATTCGGTGAAGTGTTTAACAAGGCTATGTTGGAATCTTCCACCATCGTTATGAAAAAGGTTTTAAATGTTTATGAAGGATTCAAAGATGTGAAGACTTTGGTGGATGTGGGAGGAGGACTTGGTAACACACTAAGTCTCATCACTTCCAATTATCCTCATATTGTGGGTGTCAATTTCGATTTACCTTCGGTTTTAGCCAGTGCTCCTTCTTATCGCGGTACGAATCATATTTGTATTATTAACATGTACAAGAAAATTAGAAAATTGGCAGTTCTAGGGGAATTTCGTAAAACTAGTATTCCAATACAAATTTAATAATCCCACCAAGGAAAATTATTGCTATGATTGAATTTTATTTATATATTTAGTGTAGTTGGTAAGTACCAATAAGAAATGTGGAATCCAATGCAAAATTTTATGAAATTGCCAATTAGGTAGAAATGTTAAGCTATAACACACTGACATCAAGTCTTTTTCTTATACACTACAAGAAAACAATCGTTTTCCAACGGTCCACTACGACGGTTATTAAATCGTCGCAAATTTACAACGATTTTACGACGATCTTACGTCTAATTTAAAAACCGTCCTAAAACCGTCGTATAAAAAAATCGTCGTAAACTCGACGTACAATTTACGACGAATTACGACGATTATACATCGATAACGAGAGATTTGCTAGTAAATGTAAAATCGTCGTAAATTCGTCGCAAAATTACGATGAATATACGACGACTACATTTCGATGTACATATTACGACGATTGTACGTCGAAAAAAGAGTTAGGTGAAAAACATTTAAAACATGTTTACCTAACAATTGTAGATGAAAAAATTTATCGCAAAATCGTCGTAAACTCGTCGTAATATTATTGTTGAATGTAAAACCGTCGTAAAAAGTCGTCGTAAAAGCGTTGTAAAGCCCGAAATTTTCCTATAAATAGATCTTCATTCCTTCATTCAATCACAACACATCATCATTCAAACATAAGAGCATCTTCATCTTGGAGACCCATTGTAGGTCTTTTAAATTTTAGTATAGTGTTGTAAATCCTTATATATTGGGTTGTCCATTGCTGAAAACCCGAATTAAGAGTTATATTACTTTGAATCAAAGAAGTAATAATATTATAAAGTTAATTTACTTCATTCACGTGGCTAGACGTGACACAAGAGACCACCTCCTTTATTGTCTAATCAATAAAAAGAGATAGTATTTTGAGTTTATTTTCAAGATGTCTATATACGAGCTAAGAAGTTGGATGTATATGCGTAAAGATTCAGATGGGGCGTTGACAGAAGAGTTCAAGAACGGGTTAGAAATATTTATGTATCAAGCTACAAATATGGAGAGAACGAAAGATAGTGGGAAAATGTTTTGTCCTTGTTTGAAATGCAAGAATACGAGGTATACACTAACCAAAACCGTGTGGACGCATTTATTAAATAGAGGGTTTATGCCGCAATATTTTGTTTGGTATCTACATGGAGAAGGATATGGCAGTAATACTCATGGGAATGCTGGTAGTAGTAGTAATTATCAAAGTCATGTTGATATTGATGAATCGAATTATGGTCATCAGCCTAATCAGTATCAATATGACCAAAGTGTAGATCATGATAGGATGCACGAAATGGTGACTGATGCATTTCATGAAACGCATACGGGTATTGCTGTTGAAGAACCTAATGTAGATGCCAAACGATTTTATGATTTGTTAGACAATGCTAATCAGCCAATCTACGAAGGATGTAGAGAAGGCTTGTCTAAATTATCGTTGGCAGCTAGGATGATGTCAATTAAAACAGATCATAACCTGGCTGAGGTTTGCATGGATGATTGGGTTGATCTTCTGAAGGAGTATCTACCGGAGGATAACTTGGCAGCGGGAACATACTACGAAATTCAGAAGTTGATTTTTAGTCTTGGTCTACCTTCTGAGATGATAGATGTATGTTTTGACAATTGTATGATTTTTTGGAAAGACGATGATCAGCTGGAGGAATGTCGATTTTGCCATAAACCAAGATACAGGCCTCAAACTGGTGGGCGTAAAAGGATACCGTACCAACGTATGTGGTATTTCCCTATAACTGATAGGTTAAAACGACTTTATCAATCTGAAAGGACAGCTGCATCAATGAGATGGCATGCGGAACATACACAAGTAGATGGAGAAGTTGTTCATCCATCAGATGCAAAGGCATGGAAACACTTCAATATGGTATACCCAGATTTTGCTAAGTTTAAACAGAATGTCTATCTTGGTCTGTGCACTGATGGTTTTAGTCAATTTGGTATGTCTGGTAGACAATATTCATTATGACCAGTAATCCTAACTCCTTATAACCTTCCTCCAGTTTTGTGCATGCAAAGGGAATTTATTTTCCTAAGTATTTTGGTTCCAGGTCAAAATCATCCGAAGCGAGCTCTCGATGTATTTTTTCAGCCACTCATACATGAGTTGAATCAGTTATGGTATACTGGCGTTCGTACATATGACTGTTCTACGAGGAAAAATTTTACTATGCGGGCTGTGCTTATGTGGACAATAAGCGATTTCCCCGCTTACGGTATGCTATCAGGATGGACTACACATGGGAGGCTATGTTGTCCTTATTGTCTTCATCGAACTGATGCGTTTCAGCTAAAACATGGTAGAAAAACTTGTTGGTTTGATTGTCACCGGAGGTTTTTACCGGATAACCATCCATATCGGT